ATCTATACATACATACACACACATACACACACACACACACACACACAGATATATATATATATATATATACATGCATGCATACATACATACAGACAGACATACATAAGATACATACACCCACATACATTCATACATACAACATATATATATATATATATATGCATGCATGCATGCATACATACATACATACATAAAATACATACATAAAATACATACACACATACATTCATACACACACACATACATACAACATAATATATATATATATATATATATATATATGAAATATATATCGATATATCATGTTCAAATTTCACTATAGAAAAGTATAGATACCATTAACATAGTTCGAAATAATGCTGTCGCCACACAGGATGATCGAATAAGCTCAATAGCAGTAGTCTGTTGGATGAGAAGTAAAGCAGTGTTCACGCAGCGTACAGTTCGTAACCAAGCACCATACTGAGATACAAACGAACCTTTGAACGGTAGTCTTGCCTAGATCCTTTCGTTGATTCTGTAAGTAATCGATAATTCGGACTGAATCGCGCACTTCTTCCCCGTTGATCATCGCAAGAGGCACCTACGATCAGATGTTTCAGGTGATAAAATATCAAAATTTGTATATATTAAGACAGGTGCACATGAATATACACGTATATTTGATCCATGTAAAACCAAAACGACCTGAGCTTTACAAATCAATACTATCTAAAAAAGTACAGTGAACAATCTCACCGCACTAGAACTTAGACGGATGAAGATCCTGTCTACTTTGCATAGAGAACATGCTTGAAATGACGTACCTTTTTGTAGTCGGTGAAAGCCATTTCCTTCTTTCCCATAGGATTGACTTCCACAACCTTGTACTCAATATTGTGATAGTCCATATACGCTCGTACTTTGTTACAGAACGGGCACGGCTGTGTGGTGTACATGATGAATTAAATGTGATTTGAGCGTTTAAGATACATATACTACGCGTTTTGATTAGTATAGAACTAGAACCGATGATATTTTACAATTACAACATATACATAGACACAACTCATTCAACAAAGTGTTGGTCTCTGGACAGAAAGTAGGCAGAAAATACTGTCGAGACATACGTCATATTGATACAGGATGATCTCGGGTTCGGCCTTTGTCTCCGATTCCCCCTGTGGTGTTCGTAATAGATTGGGTGGTAAGTAACATTTATGTGTGGCTTCTTGATGTGAGTGATGACGGCTAATCAGCTTATTGTGAAACGCAGTGCCCTATAAACGAACCTATATAATAAAAGAAGATGTATACGTTCAAATTGTAAAATGTTCGAGCATGAACGAAAAGGTACGTAGACGACCATTAACCAAGTCCTTAATGAAGTGAAGACTCCTGTCAATACCTATTTGAGTAATCTGATGAACCTGATAACAGCTCCTACTACCCCTTGAGAGTAGCGGCTATACGCTTAGAAGCTATTCGAAGACGAAAGAATTGTGCTCTGATAGCAGAAGTACACAGCAAGAAAAAAAACCTCTAATGTCATTCGAATCGATTCTCATGTAGACGAAACAATGACAGATGAGCGAAATTGGACACGAAGCGACAAACTGGGTTATACTCTTTTACTACTTATCCCCCACCTGACCACAGTTTAGGTTGCGTATAGCTTCATATGCTCCGATGCGTATGCCATATATATCCCAACTGAAGTCAGTGATATGTATGCGAAGCTATATATATTCCTATGTGTACAGCATTATATAAATCATGACTTTGATATGTGAAATGTGCGTAAAGCTGTACATCTAATTCGAATCAGTGACGTGTACGCGCTTTGTGTATACGATTCAATCGCTCAAGATACGCTCACCGTCAGCAGGCAGTGACAGACTGCCGGCACCACACACAGCACTCTACCTCGACAACGAAGCACTGCCTTCATAGATGATATTTATAGCCTCGACAATACAATACAAAACATCCAAAAAGATACATAACATAGTATGCATATATATATATATATATATATACAACATCCTAATATATTCAATAGTGATACACTAAATAACACCCTATTGGAAGTCTTAGTCATAAAGGTCTAAATTCATAACTTGGCATCGGTGATAAAATTTGTAATATCATAAGAGACGTCTTAGTCAAAATTGTACGAAGCAAATACTTACCTTGGCATCGGTGATACAATTTATGACAACGTAAGGGACGTCTTAGTCTCAAACATAACAACTAAATACTGATACATTATAAAACACCCAAAGGAATGTCTTAGTCTCGAACAGAGAAGCTGATGACTCACCTTGGTATCGATGTTAATACATATATACGCCTTGTCTCAAACTTATTTAGAATGCAATAAAAAAGTTTCTATTAAGACATTTCTAAGGTCTCAAACATAAGACACTAAGAGTTCAACTAAGTACATACCTTGAAAGGCGCCTCGGCATGAGCTGCTATACTGAATAGTCGCCATCCAACCAACGCACTTACAAGACCAGCCACTCCCGCAAAATGCGATTTGGTAAACCTTGCTGAAGTGGTTAGTGATAGGTGACTCTTAACGTTGTTTTGATTCAGACCTTTCTGTGAGGATGTTGCATACCCCCGACATGCAGATATGGTGGGCAGCATGCACCTTCTGGCACCAATTGCTATACCTGCTAGACTCATTCCTGTGGAGGTTGTGGTCGGACTACAGTTTTTTTGTGTATGTCTGCCCTTTTGTAAACAACGGCATATATTCTCTCTCTATATTTATATATATTTGTACACATAACTTTTTATACACATATATGTGCATTTTAGGTCGAGTGTAACATAGCCACTAAAAAAATGTAAACTAAAAACCCAACATCTAAAACCCAACATTCTACCGTTTCAATGTCATTATCTGTGTCCATTATCTCTCATCACAGCAGGAAACAACAAACACATGAAAGTGACAACAAGAAGACTGTAATCTCAAAACCGTATATGTAGCGTATACTATATATAATACATACATAGTATATATATTAGCAGCGGCAGAGGTACACAAACATCTAAGGAAGACAATTAACACCCAGCACCATGGAATGGGAAGCTTTACCGTTCATCTATGCGGTCATACTGATGGCCGCGCTCGTGTTTGTGATGGTCTACTTTATTATACAGGTACGCCGGGTGTCTCCTATGTATAAATACCATCTCCCTGAATAGTACATTTCATTACGGGCCACTTGTCACGTTCCGTACAAGTCTTGTAGTACATCTAGATATGGCCAAGATATGGATCCAGGTTCACTTCTAATATTTCGTGCTTGTGTAGTATTATGGTGCTGAGGCAGTTTTGGCAGACGCCCACGAATATGTTCTTCTCACACTATTTTTACTATTAATCGTTCTAGCTGTCCGATCTAGAGGTGGACTACATTAATCCTATCGATATGTGCTCTCAACAGAACAAGGTGAGTAGAATTTTGTAGTATTTAAACACACACATGGTATATATGCGTGTACAAATTGGTAGTTATATGTATGCGCATGGTGTGAACGTCATAAAGTAATTTTGAGTGTAGTTATATGTACAAACACGGTATGTGCACTAACCATGTAGTTTGATACAATATGAGGTGTTTGTCAATTTTTTTTGCTGTTTATCTGATACTCTCTGTCTTTTTTTTCAGTGTGTGTAGTTCGTTAGAGGCAAAAAAAACTGAGTTAGTTGAGATTTCTACTACTGCTGTTTACGATTGGTATCTATATAGTGGTCGTATGTAGCACATGTGCTACCCATGTAGTTGGATGTGTGGCAAATGAGTGCAATCAAATATCTTGGCTTAAAGGGTGGCTCTTTTATAGAATAGTCTGCTCACCTTCTTTGCTGTATGCGAGTTTTGCATTCCGTATTTCTGCGTACACGTGCATATCATAATGTACGTTTTGTGTATATGCATTTTCTGTGTATATCTATGGTATATCTTTATGTACAATATGTCTATGTGAATGTTATGCGTATATAAGGTATGTATATACCTACGATAGGTATCTATCTACATGTGCTTGTGTATGTGTTGCTGCAATTGTCATGTCATGTAATGTATGTGTTTCTATCTTTCTTACTCTGCTTTCCAAGCGAAGGGTAATTTATGAACTTGTAAAAAGCAACACACGTGTACACAAACTAACAAACACACATACACATACACAGAAAAACGCACAAAATGAAACACACACATACACGAACACAAACCCGTAGAAAACACACACACACGTTCACGTACACAAACACATAAAACACAGACACAAGCACACCCACACAGGCACTCTCACACACACACAGATATATATATATATATATATATATATATATATATACAACACATACACACACACACACACACACATATATATATATATATATATATATATATATATATACGCACACACGACACACACACACACACACATATATATATATATATATATAATTATATATGTATATATATATATATATATATATATATGTGGGTGTTTATGGGTCTTCTGTATGTATGTAAGCATGCAAATATGTATGTACGTGTGTATGTATGTATTTATATATGTGTATATGTATGGGTGTATATATATGTATGTATGTATGTATGTATTTATATATGTGTATATGTATGGATGTATAAATATATATGTATGTATGTATGTATTATGTATATATGTATGTTTTATGTATATATGTATGCATGTTTGTATGTATGTACATATGTATATATATATATATATATATGTATGTATTTATATATGTATGTATATATTTTATATGTATGTATGTTTGTATGTATGTATGTATGTATGAATTTATGATGTATGTATGTACGTATGATGTATATATGTATGTATGCATGTACGATGTATATATGTATGTATGTCTTCTATCTATGTATATTTTCATGTATGTATGTTTACATATAAGTCTGTATGTATACATATTTGTATGCATGCATTTATCTATGAATAGATGTATATACGTATGGGGTGTACGTATATTTATATATTCAAA